ATAATACTTTTATTACATTCATTCTCAACAAGAGTCATGAATAAAGTCGAGTTGCGAAGTTATGCGTTTCGCACTGAAGACTACAAAACACGAATATGTTTATAATTCTGAAATTTATAGTACAATATACAGTTTGTTACAATTTTCGGATGTGAAATAGAAAGTATGCTTCATTAATTCTTTCACAAAAATTTTTATTTTCTTTACAGTTCGGAATTTGAAAAATGGGATATGAATATTTATGATTTAACGGGGGAAATTGGCTTGGACCACCATAAGACACTTATAATTCAAATGCGTCACGTTCACCTCAATATAGTAAAACTCTAATAACTTCCGTTTCCGGTTTTGGATCGTTTCGAAATCGTTAAGTGTCTTTGCGGGAAAATAATGGAATTTTTGCCACGCTAATCACATATATATCATATTAAACCCTTTTAGATAACACAGTAAATGATAAAAAAATTATAGCGCCTAAACAGACGAACAAACAGATGAACAATAAAGTTTTATCATCATAAAATTAATTAATTTATATTCAGGATATTTTAAAACATTTTAATTAAATATAAACAATAATTTGTTATCAGAATAAAATTTTCTATACATTTATGCAACAAAAAAATATTTGAATATTAACAAGTTTATTGGAAATTTACCTAATGAATATAACCATTTCCATTGTTTTATTTTAAAAAAAATTACCAAAAATAAGCATTTTTCTATCTCTTACTAAATACAAACTAAACATCATCATAATTAATTTCGAGTAGTAATTTTTTTACGCTTACCAAGATCCATTTCTGTTTTAATTTCACACGTCGCACCTTTGTAACCGGGTAAGCATTCACAAACCTGAGCGGTGGAACCGATATAAAATCTGCAATTAAAAAATATATATGTATTAAAATAATAATTTCTCAAGTTTGAAGTTTAAAACAAATATAATATATTTTTTCATCATTTACAATAATTTAATACCATTAGTTTCAACGCTACCATTATTTATAAATTAGAAATAATTATTTTTTAATAAAAACCTTACTTTTACCTAGTGTAAGTAACATTAATATATTATTACTGATGGTCAGTGAGGTGTATTTTTTTTCATTATCAATTTCCTATTTATTCCCTGGAGTTTCCAGTTCAAAGCTGTAATTTCCTTTTTTGTGCAAAGTCCATTTAGCAGCGACTTTTTCAAAACTAATTTTATAAACTATTTCTACTTCACATCTGACATTTATTTCCTCCAAGCCTTACATGACTTATCCATTTATTAATTTTTTGTGTGTTCCAGTGTTGTTGTTTATTTTACATATTACTTTAGTTAATCATTTATGTTATATATTGAAACATTAAGATGTCAGCAAAGACCCTATATTACACTTATACGTTCTTTGTTAAGAAAAGGATGTAAAAACTCACAAGCAACCATATAAAACCAACCTCTCAATAATATAGTTTTAAAGGAAGAAAGAAATAACCCAAAAGCAGTTTCATGTTAAAATAATATCTAATTTATCTTTCATTTTTTATAATTTAAATACATATTTATAGAAAATTTAATGACATTTCATTTAGTTTCGTCTATCAATATTTATATTTATATATGAAATTATGTTAAAATAAGTGAAAAATATTTTTATATAATAGGTAGAGAGGTATTTCCTTCTCTAAAGGCCTATCTATTGGTAAAGAAGAAAACAGTACATTTATTTTTTTTAAACAGCCTACACTTTTATGTCAAATTGACGTCATTATCGCACTTATTTTAAAAAATTCAGCAATGAGTTGCTTAACTTTCCGGCAATATTTTGTGGCGCCATCTGTTATCCTATTTTATTTTTAAAAACTTATATTTTTAACTATTATAAAATGGCAAAAAAAAAAAAAAAAAAAAAAAAAGCTTAATTTCGGTACGGATAGGTTTCATAAAAAATTGTAAATGCTAAAAACAAGTAAAATCGTCATTAAGTCTGATCCTATTGGAGATACACATTACTCCCTTCATCTCCCCACCCCAACGATCTTTAATCACCAAAATTTAATAGCATTAATTCCCCTAATAAACAAACCTACTTGCAAAATTTCAGAAAGTTTCGACAAAAATCACAGGAGTTATTAAGCTTCAAAGAGGGTAAACAAAATCGTGCTACCCACACACCTACGTACGCATACGCTAACATCCATACATACAGAAATAACTAAAGTTTTTACATTTCTCGACGTTTCAAGACTCCCTGAGTCCAAAAATGTAAAAATCTTGGGGAGAGTCATTTTTTTGAACGGTCGCCATACTTTCCCTCTGTTATATATAACAGCTGGGAAAATAAAAATTGTAGAATTGGCGTCAAATTAATATAATAGTGTGCTGAATACTGTTACAAAACAAATGTACTGTACCTTATATATTATGTATTTGTTTATTTAATAATAAATTATGTTAATTTATGTTTATTTATTCATAGAATAGGTTGATTAATTTAATTCAGTTGCCAGAACTAGAATTATATTTTCGTAATAAATTTTACTAATGATTAAAATAAACAATTCATATAATAATTTTAGCAAGAACTAGTCTAAATATTTTAAATTTAAAGTTAATTAAAGAGCTAAATTAAATTTATAATTATTTTAATTACATTAATTAATCTAAACTTTGAATATGTTTTGAACTTTAAATAAATTGAACTAATGTATTTTTGATTGTGTTAGTAATTAATTTTGTTAAACATAAATTTATATTTTAAAGAAAAAACACAGATACATATTTAATAAGAAATATCAATATATAATTATTTATATATTATTAAAAATTAATTAACAAATGAAAAAAAAACGTATTTTACAAATTTTGAATTAATGTTGTTTTAATGAGTTACAACTAGGAATAACAACTTTTTATAGGAAATAAAATAAAATGAAAAGTATTATTTAATAAATTTGTTTAATTAAATGAATAAAAATATAAAATAAACTTTTCTAGAAAGGAAATTAATAAATAATTTTAAAGAAAATTGTTATTGGTATTTTTTTGTTTTTTTCTCTCGTGTAGAAATTATTCATCATCAGTGAATTTATATATCTCTGCTTTACCTTGTCCATTTGAATAATATTATTATTTTAATGGTCATTCTATTCATGTTCCCGAAAATGGTCAAATTATGGATGAGAACTGGAATAGTTTCCATTGGTTCTCCGTTTAAATTAGATTTTACAAGATTGCTTGCTGCTAAGAGAGTTAGCAGAATTCGTTGGTAGAACTCAGTATGTTTTCTCATCTTAAATAAAAAAATTATATATATATATATATATGGAAATTATTACTTGTTATCATAAATTCCCTTTGAATTATACATTGTGAAANTTTGAACTCTTATCATAATTTTGTGCTTGTTAAAAATATAAGAATACTGAATTTTCATGCTCTTAAGCTATAAAACACAACTGATTTGTATAAAGAATGAAAAGGAAACGAAATATAGACGTAGAAAAGAATAACGAAATATTTTTAAAAATTATAATATCGACATACAGAAAAGCAGAATCATCTTGTGGCCATGATAAAGAGATAATAGTTTTAAAGGATACAAGATAATCATTTTGTAGCGCTATACATGGTGCTTATTATAAACAGATGATATCTAAAGTACTATAACGTAATTAGCATCTAAATCGTAATTCCCAAATGAGAACAAACTGATATATTTCGGATCAACGGAAACCTGAAATTCACTGAATTCTCATTATTGAAATGTGGATTCTATTATTATCTAGAGTAAACACATTTTTCTTTCTTTGAGTTTTTATTTATTTATTTTAAAGAATTGTTTTCTATTTGGATACACTTCAGGGATAATGGAATAAATTAATATCGCTAATTACTCTCGTATGTATTATATATTCAATTTATAATTTATTTCAGTTTTATTTCTATTTTTAAATCGTCTTTTTGTGACAATTAGAAAATTCAAAGAAAGTTTCTTTACTCTTAGAGGCGCCCATTAGCCACGAGATCACGGATTTGCCCCTCGCCAACAGAGTTTTCCGGGTTTTCTTCACGTTTCTAACACCTAAGTAGGGCCAGTTTGCCATAAAAGATCTCCCGGAAGGCATCATCCATTTGACGGATCGCCCACGTGTTGCGCTGCACAACCAATCCAATCTTTAAAGAAGTTCCATTAAAAACACTTCAAATGAATAATTTAGTAAAGAAAATCATTACAATAAAAATTAGTCGAAAATAAATTAAATAAATGTATTAAATAATTTTTAAAACATCTCGTAAGAATTTACAATAATAGACCATCGAAAATATGGTTATCACTACAATTTTCGCAGTTATATTTCTTATCATTATTCCTATTTATTCATATTTATTATATATTTTTAAAATTTCTTCTTAATTTTTTATATTTCTTGACTTAAGTTATTCTTTTTACATTTGTTTACAATGTATGCAACATATCACTTTCAAACAGTAAACTCGTTGTGTTGTTTACTCCTTTTTTTTACAAAAAGACGGAGTAAACAGCACAACGTACTGTACATTTTAGCATCTGTATATATCTCGTAAACAATTTCTATTTTAAAAAAATCTGTAGATTTTCAAAATATATAAAAAAAATTAATTTCTTCATAAGTACGTCAGTTTTTCATGTTTTGTTTTCAAGTATTAGCGTACTTAGACGGTATTTTCATACTTTTTTATTCACTTTAAGTCGAACTGGTTATGAAAACACCTGAAATAACTTTTTCAGTCAATCTGAGAGTTTCAAATTTGAAATTTTTAGGTTAAAAACATCGAAAATTAAATTCTTTTAGATTCTACAGATTTTTACTCTGTTTTAGTTTTTTTTCTTCTTTTTCAATATCTCACTTCAGTTGGAATGCTTTTTTAGATGAAATACTTGAAATGAGTTTCTTGGATATAATTTGAATCATGTTAGATTTTTGTTGGAGTACATTTAATAAAAAAAACCCCTTAGGTTCTTTAAAATTTCAAGTTTTTTAAATTTCATTTGGCATGTAACTTTTTGAAATACGTAAAAGAAATATATTCACATTCAATTCACAATCTGTAATATTGATATAGTTCTGCAATAACGGATTATTTTATATAATTTAAAATAGGATTTTAAGACAAATTTTTGACTAAAAACCACGTACTTTTAGACTCCACTCTACCATCAATCTCTAACATACCAAGACTTTTTCTTGTATCTAAATCTCAAATTCAGCATCATATAAATAGATCAATGTTTATTTGAATACATAATTTTCATTTTTATCTTATGGACAAGGACAAAATTCGTTTTTTTCCTACATTAAGTTAATTATTCTTACATAAGTTATATCAACTGAATTGTCAAAAAAATTATTTCCTGATCCATTCGTTCTATATAAGAAAGTCAATGACAAGCATGATTTTGGTTGATTGATGGTATAAAGAGACACAACAGACTGGCGATTTGTCAAGGGGAGGATTTTCTATAGAAAACTGGCTCCCTATTTAGGTGTTAGACACATTCAAAAAACCAAGAAAACACGTGGTAGCCCGTTGGTGAGGTGCGAACACACGACAAACTATCAGTGTTCAATGGTTTTATCCACTCGGCCACTGGTTGGTACATGAGTCCGTTTTAAACCTTATAATAAATTTTCAAAAATTTCATTTAATAATATGCCAAAAAATATCATACTTGAGTAAATACTGTGTTATAAATACATAAAAAGAATACAGATTAAATAATCTAAGCATACTTAACATACAAAATCCATTAAGTACATCATCCTCTAGAGACTTTTGTGTAAGTTTGCTATTAAAATATTAATAGTTCACATATGTTGATCCTTTTCTAAATCAGCTTAAAAATAATC